TATAAGCATCTCCACTTTCCAAGCGAGGAAACCAAGGACCAGAGGGGAACAAAACTTATCCAAGCGGCCAGGCCATACCTCTCAGGTCCTACATCAGCCACAGCACCCAGTACTCAACTGGCTCTCACTTCCCTACCTTCCCCTCCCCAACTAGGTTTCTCTGTGTAGTTTAGGCTTCCTGGGTGTCACCCATCACCCCAGCTCCCCAAGCAACTGGTCGGACCTGGATATTTGCATGTCATTTGCATAATCCTAGCAGGCCCAACACAAATCTCAGCAAATCAGAGCAGGAGCAGCCTTGGAGGCAGCAAATCCAGCCTCCTCTTCACAAGGTGGGGAAACAGGGCCTAGAGAGGGTGCCCTGCCTGGGCCACTGTGGGAGGAAGCCTGTAGCTCAGTGTGGCCTCAGGCCTGCTGGCTGTGTGACCCTGGGCTTCTCTATTAACCTCTCTGGGTAGTACCTCACAGAGGCGTATGGAGGCCCACATAGATAATAGTGTGAAGGGGATCTGGACACAGTCCTGGAGTCTTTCCAGGTGTTCTAAGTTCTTCCCACTTTGGGTGGAGACAGCCACTCCCCAACTGTCTGACTTTAGCCTAGAGCTTCCCCTCTCTGGGTCTCCACCTCCCCTTGGGTGACGTAGGAGGTGGCCAGATGATCTCAAAGGTCCTTTCCTGCCGTTCCCCAGGTAACCTTGGCCAGTCAGGAGATGGTGAGCCTGAGTGAGGCCCCAATACTGGCTCCAGGCGTGGCTCCTTTTGTCCCCTGGACAGCCTCGGCAATTCTAATAACACCCCCCCATGCCCATTGTTCCCCACAGTTTAAACCATTTCCACCTATATTATCTCTTTGGATTCCTCTCCCCACTCATGCCTGTGAGGCAGGTGGTTTTCCCATCCTACAGATGGGAAAATAGAGACCCAGAGGGATGGAGTGCCTTGCCCAAGGTCATACAGCTTAGAGAAAACAGAGAAGGGACTCAATCCCAGGCTTGGCTTTCCACCCACTGCTCCTTTCCCATACCCCACCAGGGAGGCAAGCATCATGTGGAAGGCATATTCTGCTCCCTCCTCAGCCTCGTGGGATTGGCGTACCACTCCCACCATTCCAGGCGCACAGAGGGCAGATGGAAAGGAGGGGGAATCGGAGATGAGGGACAGGAGGTATTTCTCTCAGACATCTTCAGCTAGCTTTGGACTTGAAACTTGGTTTGGACATTGACTAACTGGGTGCCAGTGTCAGAGATGCCACTCAACCACTCCTCACCAGTGCCGTGCTGGGTGACCTCAAGTACCCAGAGCTGACTCAGTCTGGTCCCTGTCCTGTGGGGAAACAATGAAGAAACAGAGCGTTACGATACAGGAGGAGAAATGCTGGAGTAGAAGGTGTCTAACAAGTCGTAGGGGTCAGGGAGGGCTTCCTGGAGGTGAAGATGTCTTCACAGGGGACAGAAGGATGAGTAGGAGTCTGCCAGGCAAAGAGGGAAGAGGGATGCTCAGAGGCAAGAAAGCGTGGGGTGCGAGGAACCGGAAGTGAAAGAAGTTACCAGTGACTGGCATGCCCCGCAGAGGCAGGAATGGCTGGAGATGAGCCTGGGGCTGGACACCAGGCTGGATGCTGTGTGGCTGGGTCGAGATCCCACTCTTAGATGTGTGGTCAAGCAAGGTGACCTTTAAGGGGCCTGTATGGGACAGTGAAAGGAGCTCTGTGGTGTAGTGCCTTAAGGCATTTGATTGCTAACCAGAAAGTTGGCGGTTCAAACCCACCAGCCACTCCACGGAAGGAAGACTGGGCAATCTACTTCCATAAAGATTTACTGCCTGGGAAAACCAATGGGGTCGCTATGAGCCAGAATCGACTCAATGGCAGTGAGTGTGTTCTTTGGTTAGGGCACGGTGGAAGGGCCTGTGCGAGAGTAGTATCTGTGAAAGGTCAGGTGGCTAGCAGGGTCCATAGGATTTGTGTACGTAGGATGGGGACCATAGAGCCCCTGAGGAGAACTAGGTGGGCAGCCCAATAGGGTCAGAATTCTAGCACCCAGGCTGAGCTCACAGATTCAGGAATGGGAGCTACAGCTGAGGGGTCCTCTCCATGAAGCAGGCCTTACCCTATCCCCCCACCCCCATCTGACTGGGGACTCTCTGGGCTTCAGTTCCCCCAGCTACACAGCAGGGAGCCTAGATGGCTCTGAAGACCCTCCCAGCCCAAGGGCCACAGTAGCTGTGTCTGCCAGAGAGCCCTTGAAGTGCCACCTCCCCTTTCCTGTCCCCCCGTGGGCAGGAGGGGCTGTGGGAATCCACCGTGGCCTGAGTCACACTGCGAATTCAACAACTCTCACCTGAGCATCTCTTGTGTGCCAGGCACTGTACCTCCATCCTGGTGGGGCTGGCACTCTAGCTGGGGGAGACAGACACTGAACAAGAAAGTTAGATGTCTGTGGGTAACAATACTTGTTGTTGTCGGGTGCTGTTGCATTGATGCCAACTCATAGCGACCCCATGTGACACAGAAGAAGAGCCCCACAGGGTTTTCTTAGCTGTAATCTTTCTGACAGCAAACCGCCAGGTCTTTCTTTGGTAGAGCTGCCAGTGGGATCAAACCACCAACCTTTCAGTTAGCAGCCGAGTGCTCAACCACTGCACCACGAGGGCTCTTTAATATTATATACTGACAAGTGCTATTGAGCAAAATTAGGCAGGAAAGGGACATAGGCAGTGTGTGTATGTGTGTGTGTGAGAGAGAGAGAGAGAGAAGAGCTCACGCACACACATGTATGTGTGCACAGTGGTCAAGGGTTGGGAATAATAAATTGAATGAGAACATGGATGGGATCAGAGGAGAGACTTGAAGTGAAGAAACAAACGTTGTGGGCATCTGGGGAAGAGAATGCCAGGCAGCAGAAACAGTCAGTGCTAAGGCCCTGAGGAGACGCAGGCTTGGTGTGTGTAAGGACCAGCAAGGAGGCCAGTGTGGCTGGGACAGACTGAGCGAGGGAGAGCACAGTAGATGAAGCCAGAGGGGCGTGTATTGGGGCGGGGGTCATGCAGCACTCTGAAGGCCAGTGTGATGACTTTGGCTTTTACTCCAAGTGACAATGGGGGCCGTGAGAGCATTCTGAGAGACCAGGGACATGCTCTGACTTAACACACAACCATCCCATGTCACCTAGGGGGAGACCGAGGCGCAGAGAGGCTAACCGATGTGCCAAAGGCCCATGGCTAGTGAATGGGGCCACCTCCCCAAGGCCCAAGCTGTGGCTGGGGCAAAGTTCATGCAGTTTCCATTTCACCAGCGTCCCCTGGAGACACCCGGGTCCTGCTGAGTGAGTCAGAGGCAGAGTGGAGGCCGTGAGCTGGGCCCCGCAGATGGCCTCAAGAGCCCGACTGGGACTCAGGCTTGTGCCCCTGCTCTCCTTCCATCACAGCGACTACTGCGAAGGACAATTGAGAGATGCATCATCTCAGATCACAGCCCATCTTCCTCCTCATTCCCTGCATCCCTGACCACAGTCCCCTGCCACGGGGACTACCCGATGAGGAAACGCAGGCTAACACTGAGTGGGAGAGACCAGATCAGCTGAGGGCAGAGAGGGTTACTGCCTTCCAGGGGGCGTTAGGAGATGGTCCCCTCCCCCAACCCAGAGCAACAACCCCTGGAATGTACCTTCCAGGAGTTTTCATTCCACACTGTCTCCCCAGGGCCAACCACAAGCCTGGCAACTCGTAGGTACTTAGTAAATATTTATCACATGAACTTGGGGGCTCCCAAGCCCATGGGGGAGGCTCCTCACCAGTCTAGGTTGCTGTTGTTGTTGTTGTTATGTGCTGTCAGGTCAACCGCGACTCATAGCGACCCCTCCTTGGGTTTTTGAGGCAGTATCACTACGGAAGTAGATTGCCCCATCTTCCTTCCGAGGAGTGGCTGGTGGGTTTGAACCGCCAGCCTTCTGGTTAGCAGTCAAGTGCCTTAGGCACTGCGCTACCAGAGCTCCCCCAGTGTTAGGGCTGCCCATCTGCCCAGGGCTGTGCTGAACTCCTGCTGCCCAGGCCCCGGGTACCAGGGGCTTTTCCAGATGCACTGCTTGGGCATGAAGGAGGCTTAGGTGGGGGTGAGGGAGTTGGTGATGTTGTTTCTTGATGGGATGCTGGTTGAATGGGTGTATTCTCTGTGAATAGTCATTGAGCTGTACACATATGGTCTGTGCACTTTTCGGTTTTAAATGAAACTTTGTTAGAAATGTATCAAATAGACATATCTGGACCCCCTGTGGGAGAGAGGAGGGGAGGGTCCACTCATGTGATGTACACTGATTGAGCATCTACTGTATGCCAGGCACTGAGATAGGTGCATGATGCCCTCATGAGACAGCAAGTCCTCTGCCCTCATGGACTTGAATTTTGGTGGAGCAGGGGTGAGAGTGTTAATGAACGGGGTTATATGATGTGACAGATGGTGAGCCCTGGTGGCACAACTGGTAAGTGTGTGGGTGCTAACCAAAAGGTTGGTGGTTTGAACCCACCCAGCCACTCCTTGGGAAAAAGACCTGGCAATCTGCTCCCTCCCACAAAGATTATAGCCTAGAAAACCCAATGGGGCAGTTCTACTCAGTCACATGGGGTCACTGTGAATTGGAATCGACTTGATGACACTTACCAACAACATAATGTGACAGGAGGAGGGGTATTTGAACTAGAATGGTCAGGGACCTCTCTGAGGAGGTAGTCACTGGGCAGAGACCTAAATGACAAGGAGTTGCTATGGGAAGACACGAGGGAAGAGAACAGTATTGGGAACAACACGTGCAAAGGCCCTGGGGCTGGAAAGAGGCATTCAAGGAGGACAGTGTGGCTGGACCACTGGGACAGAGGAAGGTGGTATGAAATGAGTTCTGAGACAGGCAGGGGCCTTGAAGGCCAAGGTAAAGAGTTTGGATTGGAAACAGTGACCTTGGCCTCCTCTCTCCTCTAGGTCTCCAACCCAGAGGGCACTTTCTGCAAACATGTCTGTGGACCCCTTATCCAGCAAAGCTCTGAAGGTAAGGATACCTAGCCCCTTACTGCCAATGAAGAGCCTCTCCACCCTAACTTCCCCCTCAGTTCCTAAAATCCCCAAGGGTGGCTCAGCAGGCATCAGGGGTTCATGATGCAAGCGAGAGCCCCAGGCTGGGCTCTGGTCACAGGCTGTGTGCCTCTGGGCAGGTCACTTCCCTCTCTGGGCCTGCTTCCCCATTAGGACAACGCCCACTGGGCTGCAGGACCTCATAGGGGCTTTCTCAGCCAGATTTCTCTGGCTGAGCCAGGACGGCAACACTGGTATAGAATTCGGGCCTGGCTGGGGTGGCCTCTTGAGGGCATCCCTGGGTGTGTTCGGCCCCTATTTGGCCGGGTTTCTCCTTTTCCATCCCCTGTTCCCTTTCCTTCAGGGCCTAGAAACAAATCCAGCCACCACCTCAGTGCCTCAGGGGGTGAAGGGGCAGCCCTAGGGGTGGAGGGGCAGCCGTCTCCAGCACCTGTTACGCCCCAGGCCCAAGGCTCCCTACCCTCAGGATGGGGGTGGGGGGAGAGCGACCCTGAGGCTGTCCCCCGATGCACCCACCATGCTGCCCGCAGATCAAGCGCGAGCTAAGCGAGAATACACCGCACCTGTCGGACGAGGCGCTGATGGGACTGTCGGTGCGCGAGCTCAACCGGCACCTGCGCGGGCTCTCAGCGGAGGAGGTGACGCGGCTCAAGCAGAGGCGCCGTACGCTCAAGAACCGGGGCTATGCGGCCAGCTGCCGCGTGAAGCGCGTGTGTCAGAAGGAAGAACTGCAGAAGCAGAAGTCGGAGCTGGAGCGCGAGGTGGACAAGCTGGCGCGCGAGAACGCCGCCATGCGCTTGGAGCTGGACGCGCTGCGTGGCAAGTGCGAAGCGCTGCAGGGCTTCGCGCGCTCGGTGGCCGCGGCCCGGGGGCCCGCGGCGCTCGTGGCGCCCGCCAGCGTCATCACCATAGTCAAGTCCACCCCCGGCCCAGCTCCCGGCCCGGACCCCGGCCCCGCCCCTGGCCCTGCCCCCGCCGCCTGCTCCTAGTGCCCGCCCTGCCCGGACCGCTCGACCCCATCCCATTCCCCAAGCCGCACCCCTCCGACTCTGCCCCCTCCCTTCCAAAGTGCCTAAGCGCCATCTCTGTCCCAAGTCCCATTGCTCTGCAGCCAGGAGCTTTTTCCTGGGCCTGGCTTCTTCGCTTGGTGCCCGGAGCTGGGACCGTATAGCCCTGGGGAGGGGTATCCTTAGCAAGATGGAAGATAAGGGTGTGGGGCTGGGAGTTCAGCCTTCCTGCTTAAAGAGATGTGAAACCAGCTCAGAGAAGAACCACAAGGGGAGAGAAGGCTGCCCTCATTGTGTAAACTATCCAGGTTATGCCAATGGACCCTCCTGCCCACCCCCACCCCAGGGCTTAGGACAGGGTTTGGCCTTGTACTTGGCTTTTAGGCCTGGGGTGCCTGGTCTTCCAAAGTTGGAAGAGTCAGTAGAAGTCTGCCCAGCTGATAGATGAGGCCTCCAATGGACATGACAGTACTCAAGGCTACATACCACTTAGTGGTTGAGCTGGAACCCAAAGCCAGGTCTTCCCATTGCTACCCCAAGATTCTAGCCACAGTCTTCAGGGGGGATAGTGGACAGGGACTAAAAAAGGTGACAAGTGAAGGGAGAGAAGTAGAAGGAGAGAGAAAGTTACCCAGATGAACAGAGGGTGGAGCTGGCCCCGGGGTCCCCTGCAGCCAGGGTGCCCTGGAGCAGGGCCAGATGCCAAAGGAGCTGGTCAGCCAAGAAGGAGGAGGAACATGGAGGTGACCACTGTGACAAGGCGGGACAAGAAGACAAGTTTGTTGCCCTGCCACCCAGGAGGGGTCCTTGAGAGGGGAACGGCCCACCTTCCCCCTGTGGCTGTCCGCTGTGTGGGGCTGGATTGCCATTTTCCTGGGGCTCCCAGGCCTGCCCCCCCCCAACAGCTGTGTACAGCTGCCCCCCATTGTTTATTTATTGCACAGTCTAAGTTATTCTCCCCAGCCAGTGCCCTGGAGCCCACTCCCTGGAGAAAGTGGTAGTGTGGCCCTGAGCTGGACTTTATATTTTATATCTGCAAATAAATCACATTTTATCTTATATATAGGGAAAGCCGGACAGCTAGAAGCAAAAAAATGAAAGGAAAAAAAAAAAATTGCCCGGCCCCCAGAATTTATTTATTTTCTGACTTACAGTGAGCGAGTTATCCGCCTTCTGTATTTTGTAGACTTTCTGAATAAAGTCAAATTCTCTTTTTCCACAGAGAAAGTGTATGTCCTACGCTGTATTTTGGGGCTCGGGGGTTTGGAATGTGGGGCCTGAAAACAGAGATGTTTTCCATCCAAGTCAGACGTTCTGGTGGGGAGGGCGAAGGTTCGCCCCGTTGTGCTGACAAACTCAGTCCGGATCACTAGCTTTTGCAGACGGAGGTGGGGAGTGGGTGGGGGCAGGAATAGGACAGGGGGGGCTGGAACCTGTGTCCTTCAGTCTGTCTGGTCGTCAGGGCCTGGAATCTCCCTGGGGTAGGTGGCACTGCCAGGACAATGAAATTTAGGGTTAAATTCCCTGGGCATCCCATTAAACAGTCCCACCTAGAGAGGAAAATTCCCGAATTTCAAAGTAATCTTCCCAGGGCTTTCACATCAAGGTCTGATTTTCTACAGCCAAGTAGAAAATATTTTCCCCATGTTCCGGAAGGGAGGGGCAGGGAGGCCACTCATTCAGTCCCAGCTTGCAGGCCTAACAGGCGTCCCTGTGTCTTGTCCAGGGCCCCACACTCACTGGAATTTCAACCCAATATGATAGCCTTTCAGGGGCATCGTGAGGAATAGAGGGTACCAGAGGCTGTGGGACAGACAAATTCGGGAAGTCTGAACCCAGGGCGTGTCTTTCCCCAGCTGTGTGACCTTTGATTTATTTGGCTTCTCATAACCTCAGCTGTGCCACAGGAAAAAGACATGGCAGTCTGCTTCCATGAAGATTCCAGCTCTGGAAACACTATGGGACAGTTCTACCGAGTCACGTGGGGTTACGATGAGTCAAAATTGACTCAACGGCAAGGAACAACAAGAAGCCTCCGTTCAACCTGATGGCGCAAACAGCAGCTGCTAACCCAAAGTTTGGCAGTTCAAACCCACCCAGCGGCTTGACAGAAGAAAGATCTGGTGACCTGCTCTGTCACGTAGGGTCACTAGCGTCAAAAATTGACTCCATGGCAAACAAGAGGTAGATATGAAAATCGCTGAGAATCCTTGGGGCTGTAAGCAGAGTGACATGCCAAGCGCCGCCCCCCCATGTTGGAACCATTTACAAGGGTACACCCGACTGAGCTGAGGTGGGAGGCAGCTCCACCATCTGGCTGGCATGGGGGTATGGAGGATGGCAGGGTGGGGTTAGGACGTGTGTGCAAGGTGCAGGGCTTGTCTGGGGAAGGGCCACACAAGGGCCACACACGGTGGCCCAGGCCACAGGCCTACTTCCCTCTCAGGCCAGGCTCGGGGGTTTTCCCTGTCAGGCGGTTGACCTGAAACGCTGAGCTCAGGCAAGCGGAATTGGAATATTTACCTCAGGGTAGAGGACGCTGGGAACTTCCCCCGCCCACGCCGCATTCCTGGGTGCTCCCGTCAGCAGTGGCCGGGCCCCAGAAGGCGGGGAAGCGGTGGGCAGGGGCTCTGTGCAGCCAAGCACCTCGCCTGGTGACATTCCACCAGGCCTCCTTCCCTCAAGGGGAGGCACCTGGGGCCCCAGGCTCGGGGATTGGTTCAAGGAGGCAAGAGGGTATCCTGGAAGGCCAGAGGATCCTGGGAAATCTCTTTGACACCCTGGGAGATGCCTGCAGGAGTGGGGGCCCCTCTACAGGGCTGACAAGACTTCCTGCATACCGGCCCTCTTGGGAGGGAGGGCAGGCCCGTGACCAGAGCTGCCACCGTGGGCAGTGGGCCCAGAGATTCACTTTGTCCAACGGGGGCCCGATTCCCCCCATTACCTTACACGTGACCCACAGAAGAGGGTTTCCTAAGATACTCTGTCCACAACCACTACCCCCTCCCCAAACACATTCGTCCCTGCAGGGAGAGCGAAGGGGAAAAAACCTCACCCACAGGCAGAAGAGACCTCAGTCTCTATGTTGTCTCATATATATATTTCTTTCTCGCTTTATTTGCTCACTTCTGTCACGCATTTAAAATGTCAGAGACCAAAATAGAGTGGCTTTCTGGTGGAGCTCATGACAATCATCCAGAGATACAAAACTAAGGGCTCTGTCTTCTTATACATCACACGAGTCAGTTTTCAAGTATTTTTTATGTACAAAGAGCTACTCTAACTGGAAAAGAAAAAATTAAAAAAAAAAAAAAAAAAAAGACAAGGTAGGTTACTCATCCTAGAAATGCGGACACAGAGTAGGCGGGCCCAGGTTCCCTGCCCCCATCTGCCCATGGCCCACTGGTTCCCTGCCATGGAGCTCCCCCACCCACCATGCTGGTGGGCCAGGACCAGGTGGGCAAAAACCAAGGGGCAGGGAGTCAGCAACACAATTTTGGCCTGGTAGGTCAAAGTGGAAGTAACTGGAGATGGGTCTGTGGGAGCAAACGGTGGGAGGGGGTCAAAGCTTCATCCTCACATGACCCGTTCCTGCCCGCTGCCGTCCCTGGGGGCAGCTCAGACTCTGTAGGCATCTTGGACCCTCAAGGGGCTGGCTTGGCCACGAGACCCAGGAAGACCACAGGGATGGAAACTGCCCACCGTGACACTCATCACTATCTCCAGGGAGGGTGCCTGTTCACTGCAGTGACCTAAAGAAGAGAGGGTCCACGGCCAAGTCCTCTCCCCTGGCCCACTGCCCCCTCAAGGCTGTTGCAGCCCAAACCCGAATGCTCTCTGGGTGTCTAATGCCAGAATGCTCTGCTCGTAAGAGGCATTGCCACTGGTGACTCTAAGACAGTGGCTCACGGAAGCCAGGCCTACCTGGGGGCTCTGGCCCTGGGAGGCAGTGAGGGGTGGGGGCTGGTCATCCTGCCCAGTCCTGAGGCCTGTCCTGGGGTGGTTCTCCAATGCCAGAGCTTAACTGCAATCCCTGGAGGGTCTGGGACAGACTAGGGGCCCAGGGAGGGGAAGCTTTTGTGACTAAGGCACAGAAGAGATGGGCTGGGGGCCGAAGGGGCAGGCCCTCTGCAGGTGGGGTCAGGGAGAGGGGGACCCACACCCCTCCTGTCCCAAAGACTGTGTTCCTGCAGAAGCTGGTCTGAAATGCAAGGCGAGTTCTGAACCGAGCAGAGGTGCTAAGTGCCTGCCTGGGAGCAAGGGTCAGGACCTGAGCAGTCAGGAAGAAGGGCCCCGAGGGTGAGGGTCGCGGGCTGCTGGCTGGCTGCAGCCTGGGAGGAAAGGACAGCCAGGGGGAAGACCCCCAGGGGACAGAGGAGCCCCACTTGCTCCGGGCACATCCAGATAAGAGGGGCCAGAGGCACCATGGCTCTCGGAGTCTGGCTCTGATCCTCGAAGCGTGGCGGGATGGGGGTCTACAGAGAGGAACCCAGCCCTCGCTTCCCTCCCACCTGCCCACGTCAGGCAGGCCAGCACTGGACAGGGGAGGGTGCGGGCAGGGAAGAGCCAAGTCCAAGTATTGCACAGCATAGGGAATGGAGCCACTGGGGGGGCTGGGGCCCCTGAAGACCTCAGGCAAGAGTCTCTGAGGGAGGGGCGGTGACCTGGGGGACGGGTCTGGGAAGGCTATAGCCACTATTCCACAAAGCATTTGGGCCCGGGTGTGGCTGGTCCCGGTGCAGGCCCCACCGGATGCACAGCAGGGCAGGGGAGGTGCTCCCTGCCTCCTGCACCCCCTGGTGACCGGAAGTGCAGCGTCGCCGCATGGAAATACTCCTGCAGGCTTGTGAGGAGCCCAGGCAGCAGCAGGCCGTTCCTCTGGAAGTGATGTGTTTCTGGTCCAATAAATTAAAGGGCATTGCCGAAGCTGGGCCAGCCCGTCTCCTGGCCTGGACCTGAGGCTGGAGGGAGGCCAGCACCTG